ATTTCAAATTTTATATTTTCGCTAAATTTCACTATTTGGCTTTTAATTGGAATATCATAAGACTTCCAATATTTTATGAGTGATTCTAAACATAATTTTACTTTATTTCTAGTAAAAACTATCTGTTAGAACTCAACACTCAATTTCATATAATATTTCATAATATTTTTAACTTTTCAAATTACATAACACGATTTCAAAACGTGTATGTTACACAAATAAATAATAAAAAAAAGTTTAGTGACTAAATATGAACAAAATCAAAATTCCATTATCCTTTCAAGTCATTATCCCTAAAATATAAAATAAACTCTTTTGAAAAATAAAATACATTTCACATAACAAGATACATTTTATTAATAATATAATTGAATTTTCTATGAATAATATCCTACCTTGGTAGGGCACAACACCAACAATAATAAACATAGAGGGCCGAGACCAAAACTTTAAAACAAAAAATTCTTTGATAATATGTTGAGGTAAATGAGATTATGTCTGGTTTATTTGAGACTTCAACATGTTATCTAAATGTTGGTTTTGATATCTTATTAGTTTACCCTCGAAATACCGAAGAAATCATTACGGTCCGTAGACAAACGGTTTAGTTTAACACACATACTAGATTTTTTTACAATAAATATTGAGGAGAAGTCTTTAACATATATTGAGATGAATGACCGAGTCTAGTTGTTATAAAAGTCAAACACGGACAAATAAGATAGGGTAATATCAAATTATTATCAATAGCCTAAATCGTGCTAGTGGAAAAAAAAAAAAAATAGATGGGAAGGGTTGGACCATGTAGCATCCGATGGAGTGGTTTATATGGCAGCCAATAAGGAGTGGTCTACTGCTCCTCAGCCCCTTCATTGTTACACTGATCATGTCTATGTCGTAAACAATTATTTTATGTTTTTTCTTAGTACATTAGTCTTGCTAATTTTCTTTCATTGTTTTCACTTGTTCTTGTGTTAGACATGATACAACCTATAAAACATAAGGTTTTTTTTTTTGTTTTTTTTGAAAAATTCTTGCAAGGAAAAAGAACATGTAATAATCATGTTCTACGAAAGGCGTTTAATTTGTGGAATATTTAACTTAAATTATCTAGTTTGCTAAAAATGATTCTACCTGGACGACAACCATCCAATTTAGTTATCTATTTTGCTAAAAATGATTCTACCACGACAACCATCCAATTTAGTAAGAAAGACTATTGGGAGATAAATACCAACAATTTTGAATATATCACTACAATGAAATTGACATTTTGTGAGGACAAACTAAGATGGTAGTTTGGCCACAGTTTTATGATTTTGGAATGCTAAAGTACATTTCATAAGAACATTGTGAAATCTTATTGTCATGATAAATTTTCTAAGATATTTTGGAAAATCCTTTGGCAATCCGGAAGCATTTCGCAATACCATTGTCAAATATTCTTAATCAGAAAAAGAAGTTGTTTAACAACAATAATGATAGTTACAGTTGACAAATTGCAAAAAAAATGGCTATATTGACATGTAGAGAAAAAAAATGCTTATTTTGATAAAATCACCCTCCCATGTTGGTTATTTTGTGATTATCTGTTATATTTATCATAATAATCTTTGTATGACTCAAAGATTTTGGTTTTTTGCTTCGTTGTTAAGTAAGATTGAAGCTAAATTAGGACAAAAACATTGATTGAATTGCAAAATTAATAAATGAGAACCTATATAAATACTGTTGTTGTGCCCTACCAGACGTACCACATAGAACATCATTCTCTCTCATGTGGTTCCGTATAGATCCATCATTTTGCGGGTTAAGTAAGTCGTTTTATCATTTTCAAAATTGATATTTGTTACTTGTACGTTATGTTTGTATACTTGATTATATAGAGTTTAGAATGTTTTTAATTTGTTTGTGAATTAGTTTTATATGTTTTTAATATTTTGTGAATTAGTTTTTTATGAATTTGATTAGTTTATTTTTATTTTAAAATTAAAAATTGTATTGGTTTAGAGAATAAAAAAGATGGATTTGCATGTGTTTTGAGATGAGAGGGTTAGAAGTAAAAGGAGAAGAAAATTGTGGCAATTAGGGGTGATAACTGATCACACGACACGGCAAAAATACACAATACGAACAAAATTGGGACAAAACTGAAATTCGAATTCATGTTCGTGTCATGTTCGTGTCAAGTGTAAAAACCACGACGTTGTACCGTGTTGTGTTCGTGTTCAAAATTCGACATGAAAGTGACACGGTTTAGCATTTGTTTGTCGTGTTTTTCGTGTTATGTATGATTAAGTATTAATTAAATAAACTAATTGTTATTTCATGTATCTTTATCATATCGTGTCGTGTTTGTCGTTTTTTAATCGGTTCGTTTTCGTGTTAGTTAAAAAAACATGACATCGTGTTGCACCGTGTTCGTGTTACATAAAACATTGTCGTGTTAGATAAAAACACAACACAATGACCCGATTTGTCACCTTAGTGACAATGATGTGAGAAATGAAAATCATATCAAAAATGGTTCAGAAGAAAAATGAAAGACAATGGACTCCCTCGAAATCAAAGGTTACCATAAAAGTGAATAGAAAAGGTAGTATTGACTTCAACTATTAAAAAAGAATGTAGTTATATTTCTTTAAGTAGAAGTCTCCAAGTACATCATAGAATATCGAAATGTATATTTAAAGAAAAGGGGAAAAATATGAGTGATGCATAATAAAAGTAAAATATCTACCTCACAAAGTGGTCCTCTTTCCCATCATTCAAAGACTTGACTCCTCATCAAAGTGCCATTTTCATTCTCATTGGCACCCCAAGATTCCTAAAATCCAACCCTTTATTCATTTGTACGGAATAATATTTATAATCTATTTAGTACACTTATATAATCTCTAGTCTCTACTACTATAATTAGTAGATTTTCATGATACAATATTTAATATAATTAAAAGTATAATGCTATTATAAAATATATTTCATAACTCATAATGTTTAGATAAAGAAAAGGCAAAATTGTTATATTTAATACTATATTTAGTTAATGAACGAATTAGTGATGATACAAAAAGTAGAAAATTCGTAAAATTGTGTGGAATCAATTTCCATCTATCACGAAACTGAGACAGACATCGACATCGAAACTGTCACCGTCTCACCGGAAAACCCTGAATCAGGGTTTCCAGTGGCAGAGTCTCCGGCAAAGGCATAACCAACACCCAATCCACCATAATGCAATGAAGCATTATGACATCGTTGGAAAACCCTAGCTAGAGACGCCGCTTTCCTCCGTGCCCGTTTTGTTCCCGTAAACAACAAACCCTGAAGCAAACCAATCATCGCCGGAGTTTTCAAGATCCGTTCAGCCGCCTGAACACCGCCACTCCGACAAAGCTCAAGTAAAGCTGCCACCGCGTTCTCCTTCGCTCGGGGCGTCCCACACCTCATCATCTTGATTAAACCGACTACCGCCAAGTCTTCCGCCCCAACTGCAGCGGCTCCGGCAGGTTGCCGGACAATCAACGCCAGAGCTCCGGCAGCTTCTTCCGCCACCTCTTCACATCCTAATGCCTCGATTAAAGCTCGAACTGCACCAAATCCGATCATCTCCGTGCAGATTTCGGTGTGTGTCGAGAGATTAAATAAAGCGGTAACCGCGTCTTTCTTCCCTCTCAGTGTTCCTTTAGATAATAAAGCCGATAATGCCTCAATAGCTCCATTTTCTCCGGCGATCTTCTTTTTGTAATCATGAATGGCGGAAAGACTGAACAATGTAGCGGCGGCATTTTCTCGGGATTCAACCGTATGCCCGAATCTTAAAACGTGAACGATCGATCTCAAACACCCATCTTCCTCTATAATCAGACTCTTATTATCATCGTGTATCGATAAATTCAGCATTGCTGTCACAGCATTTTCTTGGGCTACGACGCTTTGGGAAAAGAGAAGAATCCTTAAATATGGAATTGCACCGGATTCCGCTATAAAAGCTCTGTTTTCTCCACCGGTTTTTGCCAATAATCGGATTTCACGAGCAGCCATGGCTTTACCGGAAACCGACCCATCTCGCAGTTCTTGAATAAGGAGCCGTGTGGTGGCTTTATTTGCTTCCACCGCCGCCCGGCTTGCTGGGGCTGCCGGAAAAGATTCAGTAGCCATATCTGAATTCTCCGGCGGACTGTAAAGAATCCGGTGAGCTATGCACCACTGTGTAATTAGATTCCTGAGTGCTTTATTTGGTACAAGCTTTTTATGAAGAAGAAGTTGTCCGGATTTCGGACATGAACAATGGCCATCTTCGATCCATCTTGAAATCGAAACTCGATCGTAAGTCTGCCCGGATGAGATTATCACAGGGTCCGCCATTAATTCTAATGAAATCGGGCAGCAAAAGTCTTTCGGAATTGTTATAAAAGTATCGGCGATTTCTTTTGAAATCAACGCTCGTTTCTTCGAATTTTGTAATCGTTGTCCTCTTGTGATTTCTACTTCATCTTCTTCGAATCCGAATAATAAGAATCTACAGTATCTGATCATTGCGATAAACCCACTAAGAATAGAAGCTGAAGGCTCGATATCGTCTTCGTGATTCAGCATGTGTTCTTCCAAGAATTCTAGTTCAGCTCTGCAACTCGTAGCATCAAGAATCCCCAATTTTTTGACGAAGAATTCATGGAATTCTTGTACAGAAGGGATTCTCCCTGTTTCAATTTCGTTCAACATCTTGAACAACTTTAAACGTAATGCATCATCATGTTTATCTATGAACAATTTAGCGTTTCTTGATTGTTTTTGTAACAAAGCTAATTGCTCTATAACATCATTGGATAAATTATTCAGTTTGTACAACGGGATAACATCTAAAAGCGTTGAAAATTCTCGATTAAGATCATGAAAATGTCCAGAAACCGAATGATTCTGAAGCAAAAGCCATAACTTACTGGATTGAGCACAGTAGTCAAGCAAAATTTTGGACCTGTTAAGCAGAAGGTAAAGCTCCTTGAAGCATAAGATCACCGTTGAAGGAAAATCGGAGGTTGAATCCCGGACAGAATCCAACAAAACGACGAACAATTCTATCTTCCGCAGCAAAGATTGGGAATTCTTTTTCTGAAACGGTGGGCGTTTGCCGGAGAATGAAGAGATGAGGTCCGATGAGACAGCGGTTAAGTGGTTCAATAAGGCAACGACATCGTTTTCTAGATCCACCGGCGTTAAGCAAGCTTCTAACGTCGGCGACCTGCTCCGGCGTAAGGATGAAAATATGGCAGCCGACGCCATTGCTTAAAGCAAAGAAAAGCAAAGAAAAAAAATGGTGCTCTGTAAACAGTTTCGTGATTCTTTCTTCGATTTCTCGATGGGGTTGGTTGAATTTAGTGACAGGATTTGCAAAAGATTTGATCTTTCTTATAAATATAATTGTTAGGAAATGAAAGGGAAGGTGCGAGGGAAGGATAGGCTACATATACAGTGAGAATTTTGACAAAATCCGCTTGTGGAGAGCAGGACTCAGGACTCAGGACTCAGGAGCATTTGTGAGGAAAATTGAGAGACGCGAAACTAACGTAGAAGAAAAACTGTAAATGGCCTCCTTTTTTCTTTGACCCATTAATTCTATTACTTGTTTAAAATTAAAGTAATGAAAATTTATATAAAAATAATTTTTTGTATTGCGTCTGTGGAAATTGCATTTTACTAAACCTTTTTTTAATACTAATTATATAACTTAAATATATGTTAATAATTAGTAGAAAGACTTAAAATTTAGTCTTGATTTGGCATGTTAGTTGAAAAGCTCATGAAAAGCTGATGGTTAAAAAAACTAGCTGATAAGCTAATCGATAAAAAGATTGTTTGGTAAAAACTAGCTGATAAGCTAGCTGAAAAATATAAAACTACATAAAAATGTATTTTCCAAAATAAGTTTTCAATAATTAATTAAGGTATATTTGGGAAGTTTGTAAAAAAAAACCCCTGAAAAGCTACTCCAAGTAATTTTTAGCTTACCAAATACGACAATCCAAAAAAACTTCAAAACTCGAAAATAAGCTAGTTTTTCAGCTACTTGGCAAATGCAGAGAAAATAAATTTTGTTGTTTTACATAAATTTTTTTTTTTTTGACAAACAAAAAAGACATTTTCAATGCTAACCATCAATTTCGTAGAATATATGTGCGAAATGGGCTATAATGGCCCATAAGTCGACCCATATTTAAGTTAATTTTTTTTATTTTTTTATTTTTTATGTTGCAGTATTCTGAAAAATAATCTGAGTGAAAAAAAAAACACTCTGGACAAGTAAAGTGAAGTTTGTTTCATTTATTTGACTTCACAAACCGAAAAACCACATTGGATAAACAAATGATTAAAATCTATGACCCGTGTTTAATGATATTGAAATAAAGGATAATATATTCACTAATTAAATATTAATATTGGATTTGTGGAGACAAAATGTGTTGTTAGATGTTTAACACCATTTGTACAATGTTTTATCACTTGTGCAAATAGAAGTATATTGGAAATAATGAGAAAGATATAAACAAATGACTATACTACTAGTTATATGTAAGACTGGGTCACACTAAAAATCATAAAAATCTTGAATATATAATAATAGTTATAAAATAAAGAAAAAACATCATAAATGGTCTCTGTGGTTTCCCAAAATCTGAAGTTTAGTCCCTGTGTTTTCAAAATTTTTGACAATTGGTCTTTATTGCTAACTCCGTTAACTTTTGTCCGTTAACTGAAGGACATTTTCGTCATTTCACTACCACAGGGACCATTTATGATGCTTTTTCTTATTTTTAAAAAAAATATATATATAATTAAATAAAAGGTCTCTCTCTCTCACTCTCTC